GATAAACACAAGTGATACTGTATCTAAGAATGATTATTGTTGTTAACAAATCTTGTTCTGACTTTAATCATTCTATCTGCAGATGAACAGCATGTCATGAAAACCTAGGCCATTAAAGTATGTCATGAATTACTGGCTTAAACCTAAAAGTATTAGTTCCACCACAACTCCCCTCTTCTTGATTAGTCACTAATCATGACTAATGACAAGTCATTAATCATTAAACCTCTTTAATGTATTTAAAAAAATATGACAACACAAACCCAAGTATATGTACTTTTCTGAAATCCCAACCCCAGTAATTCAATTTTTATTCCTCCCACAGTAATTACTAACCCCAAAACATAGTTATCACACAAAAGTCATTGGATCATCTTGAACACAAACAAGCTTGTCTGCTTTCATATATGGAAGGGTCAGAGGTGGTGGTGGGGCTCTGTGAATCTTTGTAGATCTTGGTTTAGTGCGAGGGGATGGAAGATGAGGGTTAGCTGGATTTGGGTGTGGTGTTTGTTTGATCTTAATCTCCGCAGGTTCTTCCATGTTGTKAGTAAAATCCAGGAGGGGGCATTCCACTTGCTGTCCTGTTGGGGTCTCAGATTCCAAGAGATCCTCTGTTTGTGAGGCTGGTTCTGCAGCTTGAAGTAACTCCTCGCTCTGTGGTTCTGGTTCAGTCTTCTTATCAGTAACTGGCACGCTGTGTTCCATCAATATCTCAGTTTTCTGCAGCTGTCCTTCAGACGTCAGCTGTTGTGGTTCTTCCTGTTGTTTGTTTCCAGCCGGAACTTGGTTCAGGAAATACTTATATTTGAAGCCAGAAGCTGTGCTCCAGTTTGATTCAGAGACAGCCCATCAGACCTGAAGAGATGTTTTCTCTCCCAGAAGAGATCAAAGTTATCCACAAAACTCACAGAGTGGTCAGCACAGAGTTTTTCCAAAAATTCATTAAGAGCAAACAGTCTGCTAAACCTCTCGGCCCCTCCTCTGGCTGTAGGCATGGGCCCACTGATGAACACATCTATGTTGAGACTTTTAACTGCATTCAGCAGCAGAATAAAATCCATCTTCGGGATTTCTGACTGTCAGTTCATAACTTCATCACTTCCTGTATGAATGATGAGTGTATTCACAGTTGAATACTCAGCTGTTATTTCCAGGATCTTCTCTGTGAGGTCAGACACTTTATCAGCAAAACTCAGAACTTTTTTTTTCTTGTTCCAGAAGCATCTGATCTCATTCACCATTTTATCTGTGATGATCAGCATTTCTTGACTCTTGAAAGTCTCTTTTTGGACTCGCTTTGGCTTTGGGCTGGATCTGGTCTCAGATCCCTCACTGAGATCAGAAACTTTGTTCAGACTCACCAGTTTCTTCCAGTGGTGTGAATCTGTTTTGAAGAAACACTGCTTCATTTCTCTGGCCGTTATCAGTTATTTTGATTTCAGCCTGTTTCTGCTTTATTCTCCTTGCTGGAGGAGAAACAGCATTTCTCTGTAATTCTGGCCAATCATTGTTATCAAAGAGCTGAATCGTTCCTGAGAGATTTTTTTGGTCGGGCACAAACAGAGTTCCATACAGCTTTACCCTCAGAAGCAGCTTCCATCTCCTTGTCCAGTGGATCTCTCATCTCAGCCTTCTCACCCATTTTAATGCACGTTGAGTTCTCCAAAGCATTCATCTCTTCCAGACAATGAATCTTGAGCTCCAAAACCATCACCTTTTGGAGAAGCTGGCAGAAATCCTCTTTTGAAAAGTAAGAAGGCATCTTGAAGCTGTTCTGTACTCACTCTCAGCAGATGTTTCAAAAATCTTCTCAGGTTCTTCAACAGCCAAAAATAAAAATTCAATGTTCTTTGCTTATTCAAGAACATCCATCACGATCGTCACCAGCGTATTTCAGTTGTTAAAACAATTTACCATTAAAAAGGTTCTTTTCATCCAGCTGGAGACACGGTCCTGAACAGTCCAGTCCTTGCTCACTCATATCAGTCCACCTGCAATGTGGCCTAGGTCTGTCGATCTCCTAGTGGTGCCCGCAACAACCCCAAACTGTTATGGCAATATTTATTTAACAAAGACAKAAATACGTGGTCCAAGAATGAAGGTACTCCATGGGATGATCAGCTGAGTTTTATTGCAACAACAGGAAACACAGAGAACAACCTGCCCTGTCTCTGTGCCTC